CTCTGCCTTTCACCTCTGTCCTCTGTCCTTCAGACAGCACCAGCATCCCATCCCTGAGCCTGCTGTTCCACTCAGGAGGGTGTTTAGGAAGGTGGTGAAGTCAGCTGAGACCACAGGTGTCAGCAGGTGTATCCCTGACCCTCCCATACCTGCAGCACAGCGGCCACAGCCCTACCCCTCACCTTGATCACAGGATGGTCATCTCTGGGTTCTGCTTTCTGCTGTGAAATCCAGAAGTTATGAAATTTCCACCTACTTGTGAAATCCTAACCCACTTGTGTTTGTTCATTCCCCTAATGGCCCATAATCACATCCGGCCTGTTAGGAAAGTGCAGGTCCTCAGAGGCTGAACAAGGCCAGTTCTGGAGTCTGGAATCCACTGGAATCTGTGGAGCAAGCCCCTCCAGCCTCAGGGTTGGGCTCTTGATACTTGTCAGCTTGCTCAGGCACCCTTCCTTCAGAACCCAGGACCCTGCGTAGTGACTGCCGTGACTGGTAGCACCAGCCTTGGGTTTCCCATCTGCCTCCAAGGTACCCACTGTATGTCCTCTGGCTAGTCACTGACTGCCGTGAGTTGTCAGGATTAAATGGCACAATGAATTGAACGTGTTTGGCACTGTGCCTGGTGTGTGGGCTCAGTTGATACTTGTTGATTAAAGGGAAACCTACCGAAAAGCACTGGGAAGAAAGGGGGAGTTACTGGGCAGTGCCACATGAGCTCTCAGCCTATGCCAAGTCTCCTCCAGGCCACACCATGACCCTGCATCTACGGCTTCGCAGTGACTGGGTCCTTTGTACATGCTGTCTATATATAATCTCTTTGTTTCACACAAGATCTGTGCGTCTTTCCATGGCATCTGCCAGATTCCCAGTTTCCCCGCCCAGCCAAGGCTGTTGGGGGCTCACAGGAACTCCCTTCTGCCTTCTCTCCTGCCAGTTTCGGCTCAACCTAGTCCCTCCATCTAGAAAGCCCTAGTATTTCTGTCATGATTCTACCTGCTCTGCAAAGCCCAGCCCAAAAAGAACACCCTTCTCTCACAGAACCCCATCTCAGCTGGAAGTTTTCCCTCTTGACTCTCTGTGCTTCCGGTCACCTCTTACTGAGTCTTCCCCAGGGCCTCCGTGGGGCGTGGAATCACACGTGCAGCCTTCAGGCACATTCAGCCTGCTGTGCAACAGTGGGATTCGCTGGCAGGCCAGCAGCGTGCCCAACCTGGGGCAGGGACCAGGCTAGCTTTGTGCTCAGGTGCTGATCAGAGTAGACTTTCAGCAGATGTTTGCATGAATGGGTGAACAAATGGCTGAACAAATGACAAATGGATGAGCCTGACTCTCCCTCATCATGTGGTCTGTGGTGTGTTTAAATACCATTCTGGTGGCCTTTTAGCTCCTTGAAGATGGAAATGGTTTTGTACTAAGTAGGCCCTTAGCAAGTTTGTTTTATTGAGTGGAGCCGACTTAAAATCATCGTACTTGGGAGAATTACTATGGATCTGTTTCCCCATTGGTAAAATAAAGGTTGGGGCTGATGATCTCAGAAACACAGGAAAACCAATCTTGGCCCCAAAGTTGAGGGGGAGATACTGCCAGGTCTGGTACCGTCCCTGTGTTCTAGCTCCCAGGCCACCATGTTTCCTCCTGAAGCTGGTGGCTGCAGCCGCTTTGCCTTTGCTCTGCCTTTCTTGAAGGATGAGGGGGGATCTCTTGGAGTTCTGTCAAATTCACCCCCCACCTGCCTGTCCAATGAGTATCTAAGCCACCCATCATGGAAGCTTTCAGTCAGGGTGCTTTGGAGGGGGTGGCTTTGGGAGCAGCTCTGTGCTTCATGACCTCAGGTCTCCAGCAGTCTGCTAACCAGGTGCATGCTTTGCCCACAGGCCAAGTACCTGGCGCAGATCATCGTGATGGGCGTGCAGGTGGTGGGCAGGGCCTTTGCACGGGCCTTGCGGCAGGAGTTTGCAGGTAAGCATGGGCCTGTCTCCCCTCTGGGATGGGAGCTCCTGTCGAGGTCAGATTTTCCCTGTAGCCATGGGCACCTCAGGCCTGATGGTTCTGCAGCGTGGGTGGCCTGGGGCACTTCCCATGGTAGGGGCATCCTTCATTGGGACCTGGTTAGCAAGAGCATCCAGGGCAGGAGCTGGCAGACTGGCCCATCTGGACACCTGGTTTTATAAAAATAAATAGTTTTGTACAAATAAGCTTTTTTTTTTTTTTTTTGAGATGAAGTCTCACTCTATCACCCAGGCTGGAGTGTAGTGGGGCGATCTTGGCTCACTGGAAGTCCTGCCTCCCAGGTTCAAGTGATTCTCCTCTCTCAGTCTCCCAAGTAGCTGGGATTACAGGCACCCACCACCATACCCGGCTAACTTTTGTATTTTTAGTAGAGAGGGGGTTTCAGCATGTTGGCCAGGCTGCTCTGGAACTCCTGACCTCAGGTGATCCATCCTCCTCAGTCTCCCAAAGTGTTGGGATTACAGGTGTGAGCCATGGTGCCCAGCCCTGGTTTTGTAAATAAATTTGATTGGAGCACAGACACGCCCACGGGCTGCTTTCAAGGCAGAGTTGAATGGGTCCAATGTAGGCTCATGAGCCGGAGAAGCCTAAAACATCTACTTTCTGAGCCTTTAGGGAAAGTTTACCAGCTCCTGATTCTAGGTTCTGGGGTCACTGAAAGGGAAGAGGTCACCCAAGGCAGCGGCTTTGGTGGTCTAGGTGACCGGTGGGCAGCCGGGCGCCTGCAGAGCACGCTCATGCCCACAGCTCCACTGTCCAGTCCCCACCGGAGCCTAAAGCTCCACAATTTGCTGTGCCCTGGGATGTGGGGGTGGGTTGTCATTTCATGGTCTAGGTTGGGGACTAGGAGCCAGGTTTGGTGGTCAGACCCTGCCCTTTTCCTCCAGTGAGGCACATCCATGCTCACTGTCCCAGCCACTACCCCCTAAAAAAGAAACCACTCCTGGAGAAGAGGTTCTTCGCCACCTCTGTCCCTGTGTCTCTCATCCTGTGCCGGTGGCAGGGGTGAGCCACCCACTTGGAAGGCCCAGGGCGAAGTCTGGGCTGCTGAGGACTGAGCCATCACCCACATGTCCACACAGCCAGCCGGGCCGCAGCAGATGCCCGAGGACGCACTGGACACCGCTCTGCAGCCGCTTCCAACCTCTCTGGCCTCAGCCTCCAGGAGGCACAGCAAATTCTCAACGTGTCCAAGCTAAGCCCCGAGGAGGTCCAGAAGGTAAGGCCACTGGGCTGCCCCAAAGCCTGAGGGGGAGAGGCTGCCAGGGCGGGAAGAGGCCTGGCAGAGAGGTCCAGTTTGGATGCTGTGGCCATAGCTAGCTTGGACTCCAGCTTGCTCTCACTCGTTAAGTTTTAGGCCCAAGGCAGGACAGTTTCAGCAGCCATGTCGCCCTCCAGGGTACCTGTCCACATCTGCCTCTCAGTGGCCACAACAGCTGCGTGTGGCACGCAGTGTGGAGAGGAGTCCTGTGGCTTCTCTCATGTGACCTCATATAGCCTGCCCGGCGTCTCTCGCCTACAGTCTGCAGCCCTCTCAGCCATCTCCTCTCCTCCGCAGAACTATGAACACTTATTTAAGGTGAATGACAAATCCGTGGGTGGCTCCTTCTACCTGCAGTCAAAGGTGAGTGGTCTTTGATTCTGGAAGGAGGGAAGTCACAGGACCCCCTCTCCTCGCTTGGGACTCAATTCCTGGCTGGGGGAAGCTGGCCAGCTAAGGACTTAGCACACAGAAAACTGTGCCGGGCCTTCCCATGGTGCCCCAGCCTCACGGAGTCCCCTAAACTGCTACCCCTCTGACTGCTTCAGCTCTGGGGTCCAGCCACTCAGGCTGTGTCACTCCAGACAGCAACCCTCCCTCCAGCAGCTGGGACTTGGAAGGAGCAGGAGCACCAGCGGGTGGGGTGCTGGAACCAGCTCTCAGCTCACAGAAGTCGCAGCATGCACTGGGCCCCTGCAGTCTGGCTCTGTCTCCCCAGGCCACCTCTGACCCTGGGGTAGTGCCGAAGGAAGCATTGGTATCCACCCACTGCTCTCCAAAAAACGGACCTGGGCCAGATGGGAAGAGGCTGTCCCATGTGGGCAAGGGGCATAGGGGAGAGGCTTAGCCTCCCAGCCTGATTATCTGTGACCTACCAGGTGGTCCGCGCAAAGGAGCGCCTGGATGAGGAATTCAGAATCCAGGCCCAGGAGGACAGAGAAAAAGGGCGAACGCCCCACACGTGACTGCTTGGCTCTCCACACCCATCCCGCCACCTCTAATTTATAGCTTGGTAATAAATGTCTTTTCTGCATTTCTTATGTGCATGGGTCCAGATTCCAGAGGGCAGGCTGCTCCTCTGCCAGTCACAGGGCTGTGTGTGCTTGGGTTGGGGAGGCAACAGCCTGACAGCCCAGAGGGGCCTGGCTGGGCAAGCTTGGCAGGCAGGCAGCCAGCCAGCCAGCCAGCGGGCACCAGCCAAGTCCAGTCACGTACAGGATGCAGCCTCTCCTGCCTCCACAGCACCCGTGCCAGCGCCAGGCTCCCTCCTGTGGCGCCCTGCCAGACCCCAGCTCCCAGTCACCATCGGGTGCCCCTGCCCTTCCCACAGTGTGGCAGTCCCCTGGTCCCAGAGCTCTGTTGGCAGCCACCCTGTCCCTGGGGTGAGTTTGAACCTAGCACCTCAGTCATCTGGGCATAATACCCCAGGATGCAGCTGGGGGAAGAGGTGCCTCTACCCACCCACTGCTTACTGAAGCCTCACTGGGCAGTAGTGGGCCAAGGACCTGAACCTTGGGATGCTCAGTCTGGAATCTCCCATCTCAGCTCCCATCACCTGTGCGCCCTCAGCACCTACCTCCTCCCCAGCCTTCGAGGTCCTGCTCTCAGTTGCCGATTGAGAGGGAAGGGCACCTGCAGGGTCGGGGAAGATCAGGCTGGCAGGGGCTCCGGGGCAGCGCACAGCCGGGCACAGGGCCAGGCTCCGGCACACCCACCACGCACAAGCCATCTTTGCAACTCACTTTTATTGTTTCTTTATAAACTTCCTCTCCCATGGAGGAATATATTGTTATAGTCATTAGCTTATCTCTTTTTTTTTAAAACTCTATGCTAACAGCAATGGAGCCAAGAGGAGGAAAAACATAGCTACGATAGAAAGGCACTTAGAACCTGTTAAAATACTGATATCCTGGAATGTGCAACAACAAACCAACGACAACCACAAAAAGTACACCGGCCCTTCCGAGCCTGGTCCGTCACCGAATCGCATGCTGAGCTCGTCGGCCTTCCAGTGCCCTGTTCCTCCGCTCCGCTTGAGTCAGAAACCCATGACCCCACCAGGGACTTAAGGCCTGGGGCCCTCACAGGGGTGGGGGGTGCTCGGGGCCTGCATGGGGCCCGAAGAAAGGAGACCAGCTCCCTCCTACCTTGCTCACAGCCCCTTCGAGGAGCAGAGCCAGTGCGGCGGGGCCCTGTCAGGGCTGGAGTCCGAAGCCCAGTGGCAGGGCAGGCCAGGTCAGGGTGACCCCTCTGGGACAGAAGGGCAGTCTGGGAGAGGGTGGGGTCAGCAAAGCTGCCAGAGGATCTGCAGGGCCACTGAGGACCCCAGTGCTATCCAGGCAGCTGCCTCGTTCTACAGATGGGGAGGTGGAAAGGCTGGGCCATTCCACGGCCTGGTGACAGCGCAGGCCTAGAAGCCAGAACTCCCAGCCACCAGGCGGGAGAGGGAGCAGAGGGGAGGCCCCAAATGGGGGATGCATGGGTGCATCCATCCCCCAGGGTGTCCTGGGATGGGATTAAGGGGCACAAGGCCTTCTAGCACCCTTAAATGGTTCTGGCCCCTGCCAGAGTCCTTGAGTGGCACAGAACCTGAGAGAGCCCGTTGGGTATTAGGGGTAGGGAAGCGCCTCTGAGAAAGCAGCTCGGAAGGAAAGAGCCTGAGGAAGCAAGTGTCACAGGTGGTCCTCCAGCCACCGCTTCCCTCAGGCCTTCAGTCCACAGCCTCCAGGAAGTTCCAACACAGCACTGGCCGGGAACCCCCTCCCCTGCATGCTGTCACTTGGAGCCCCAGACCAGGAGATGTGTCCCAGCCAGCCTCCCCTTCCTGGTGCAGGACCAAGGCCCGCAGGCCTCTGCGGGGGGGCACTGCCCAGGCCAGGCCCAGTGGGGATGGAAGCAGGAAGACCGGGCGCTGGGTCTGGCCCCACATGCTCCCTGAGCCAGGGCCCAGGCCACTCTGTCCTGGCACTACACCTGGCCTGGTACCTCCCCTCACCAGCTCAGGGGCCCTCAGACTGGCTTCTCACTGTCCTCGGGTGACCTATGGTAGAGGAAGGAGGCCCCCCGGGGTGCAGAGATGGAGTGGCCAGCTATCCCCTCAGTCTGGAGGTGGCGTCCCTTGGGCAGTGCTGTCAGCCTGGCCTGGGGTGAGAAGGACGGCCGCAGAGCGGGGTGCGGGGCCTCCCTTCTAACTAGCAGGAGGCACCTTTGTCCTGGGGAGCATGCTTCTGCCTGGGGCTTTGAAGGGGCCTGCATCTGTCTTGCTTTCCCTCTGGAGGCAGGGTCAGAGAGAAAGGAGTCCAAGGAGCCCCCAGGACAGGGGCTGGGTAAGCCTAGGAGGGATGGGTGGGCTTCTGGTCCCTGGGGGTCCCTCTCAGGAAGGGGAGCCTGGCGCCAACAGGGAGGGCAGATGCCGTCCCACCCACCCTCTCTGCTGGAGAAGGGGTAGTCATTGGGTGAGGAAGGTACCAGGGTGGGAGAGAAACGGGAGGACAGGGGCAGGGACAGGCCTGGCAGAAGCTGAGAGCTGGGTGGGGGAGCCAGAGGGGAGCGAGGCGTCAGCACCCAGGAGCACAGCTCCCCCCGAATGGCAGGCCAGCCCCACCCAGGGACCAGGAGACCAGCCATGAATGACCTAGCACCATCCTTACTCCCTGGCGGGCTAGGCTGGGGCTGCCCAGGCAGTAGGACATTATTGCTATTTCACAGAAGAGTTTCTGTTCGTCAGGGGGCAGTGCCAGGAGCTGCCGGCAGGGCCGTAATAGTTGTCCACAGGGTGGGTTCAGTTCACCACAGCCGGTTTGAGCAGCACGGAGCCCGGCGGGATGACCACCCAGCCAGGAGCCAGTGCCTCTGGGCTGCTGGCGGTGGAGTTGACGCCGGTGGACAGGTCTAGCACGGTGCCCGGCAGCAGGGGGAGTCCATCAGGGCTTGGCCGGGAGCAGCTGCTCTCCGTCCTTTCGAGGGGCGTCTTGCGGCCCTCCATGCCCAGGGCCCTGGCAGGCACTGACCCACGCCCCTTCTCCACCTCGCCCTTGCCACCAGCAGAGCCAGCAAGGAGGGAGACCACAGGCAAGCCCAGTCCGCCAGCCCCAAAGGGCGAGGGCAGCAGCGGGTTCTTGGCCAGATTGAGAGGCAGCACGGGGCCCGGCAGCCCAGGACCCATGCCCCCTCCACCTCCACTGCCCCCACCACTGCCACAAGCCAGGGCACTGAGGTCGAGGGGGCCGGGAGCCAGGGGCAGGGGTAGGCCAGGCAGGCCAGGGCCTCCAAAGAGGGCGGCTGGGTTAGGGATGATGATCTGGGCCCCGCTGACATAGGGGCCGCCATCGGGGGCAGGCAGTGGCGGCTTGGGGGGTGGGCGCAGCTGCAGGAGCTCTTGCTGCTCATGGGACACGAAGTGGCCGTGGGCCTTGATGTGCTTGCGCAGTGAGCTGGGGTCCGTGTAGCGCTTGTGGCAGCCGGGCATCTTGCAGTAGTAGGGCTTGTCCACATAGTGGGTGCGAGTGTGCTTAAAGCGGTCACTGGAGTTGGAATAGCGCTTGTTGCAGCCCTCATAGGGGCAGACGTAGGGCTTCTCACCTGCAGGGTGGTGCGGGGCTGCTGTGAGGGGAGTCTCCCTTGAGTCCCCATGCACTCAACATCCCCCGGGCCAAGCACTCCCTGGAAGCACAGATGCCCCAATTCTGTGGACGGGGGACATCCCCAGCACATGGCATGAGATCTGCCCCGGCAGGGCACAGAGGCTGAGAACCCAGCCTGGCTGAGTCCAGCTCTGCCTGGCCTCACCCTGCACCCTCTGCTACAGAGGGTGTGCCTTTCAGCAGCAGAACATGGCCTCGGAGGCCGGGCCCAGTGGCTCATGCCTGTAATCCCAGCACTTTGGGAGGCCAGGGCAGGCAGATCACTTGAGGCTAGGAGTTTGAGACCAACCTGTCCAACATGGTAAAACCCTGTCTCCACTAAAAATACAAAAATTAGCTGGGCTTGGTGGCAGATGCCTGTAATCCCAGCTACCTGGGAGGCTGAGGCATGAGAATCACTTGAACCCAGAGGCAGAGGTTGCAGTGAGCAAAGATCATGCCACTGCACTCCAGTCTGTGTGTCTCAAGAAAAAAAAAAAAAAACATGGCCTTGGAGATCACCTTCTGGCACAAGGTGCCCAGCACAGGCCTGGCCACAGGGAATGCTGCCTGGACACCACCACCCTCACTCAACAATGTGGCTCAAGTTTCACCAGGCATCTGCTGCTACCCCGGCTACAGGAGGGGGCCACGTGTAGCAACTGACCGCTTGACACATGGCTTTCCACCTGGAGATGTGCTGCCAATGTGAAATAAACACTAGGAAAAAAGACACCAGCTTCCTGAGGCTTTGTCATGAAATGAAGAACTTTGGTATCTCACCAATTTGTCTTTAATACTGAATTGATAAAACGTTGGAGGTACCGGGGTCAATGAACCATATTGCAATTAATTTCACCCATTTCTTTTTTTTTTTTTTGAGATGGAATTTCACTCTTGTTGCCCAGGCTGGAGTGCAGTCGCGTGATCTCGGCTCACTGCAGCCTCCACCTCCTGGGTTCAAGTGATTCTCCTCTTCAGCCTCTCAAGTAGCTGGGATTACAGGTATGTGCCACCATGCCTGGCCAATTTTGTATTTTTAGTAGAGACAGGGTTTCTCCATGTTGGTCAGGCTGGTCTTGAACTCCCCACTTCAGGTGATGTGCCCCCTCAGCCTCCCAAAGTGTTGGAATTACAGGTGTGAGCCACCGCACCCGTTCATTTCACCCATTTCTTTTTATTGTTTTTTTATGCATCGATTAGGAAGTTTAAAATTATGTCTGTGGCTCCAACAGCCAGAGCTGTCCTGCTGTGGGCCTGGGCTGTAATGAGGAGTGAAGCCGACCCAACCTCAGCGATCACAGAGGTGGCACTAGTCAGATGATACAGACGGGACCCAGGAGATGGCACTGGTGCTCCAAGAGCACGTGCTGGGTGGGGGTCTGACCCTCAGGGAGGCTTCCCCCAAGCAAACTGCATTGGAAAAGGGACCCCTGGATGGCCCTCATCTCTGAGGCTCGGGCCTTGCTCATAGTCCCCTCGTCCTGGGGCCCTGCCCAGCTGGTCTCAGCTGAGCATCCCCTTCATGGGCTGAGCTGCCTGGCCTGGCCTCAGCCTCTTACCTGTGTGTGAGCGGTTGTGGATCTTCAGGTTCTCCAGGCGGGAGAAGCTCTTGCTGCAGGTCGGGCAGCGGTGCGGCTTCTCATTGGTGTGTGTTCGGATGTGGATAAGCATCTTGTACCTGTGCCAGGGAGGGCAGGGGGCGCGGCTCAGCTCGCTGATGACCCTAGCCCTCCCTCCACCCCTCTTTCTCTCCCCTCACCTGGCGTTGAAGCCTCGGCCATGGCGGGCACAACCCTCCCAGTGGCAGCAGTACCCGGCATCCTTCTCGGGCTTGACGTGGTAGTCGTTGACGTGGTCCACCAGGTCTTGCAGGAGCTCAAAGAGCTGGTTACACTGTGGGGGCCGGGAAGGGTTCTGAGCCCATGAGGGGTGGCCTGCCCAGACTCCATACCACTCTTCCTGGCCCCCACTCACCTTGGCCCAGCGACACACTAGCTGCTTAGGCAGGGGCAGGTCTGGCGAGAGGCACTTGTCCTTGGGAGGGGTAAGGAAGGAGGAGGCAGGCAGGTGCAGAGTTCCCCCGGAGCCCAAGGGAAGGAAGAATTGGAAGGAGCTGGGGACACCGTCCAAATAGCGCAGTGGCTGGAAGTCCTGGGGTGTGAAGGGAGAGCTGGTCAGGGTCCCGCTGGCCCAGGGCCCCACTGGCCCAGAGCCCCCCTGTCCCATCTACAGTGCGTTGAATGGTGTCCTCAAACATTCAGGTCCCCCTCTCCCCAGCCCTTAACTGTGCATGTGGCCTTATTTGGACATAGGGTCTCTGCAGATGTCATCAAGTTAAAATGAGGTCATATTAGATTATGGTGGGCCCTACATTCAGTGACTGCTGTCTTTTTTAATTATTTTGTTTTATTTTATTTTTTGAGACAGAGTCTTCCTCTGTCACCACGTTGGCCACAAACTCCTACCTGCCTTGGCCTCCCAAAGTGCTGGGATTACAGGCATGAGCCACCATGCATGGCAAATTTTATTTTCTTAATTAAAAAAAATTAAATATGGGCGCCATGGCTCATGCTTGTAATCCCAGCACTTTGAGGAGGCCAAGGTGGGTGGATCACTTGAGGTCAGGAGTTTGAGACCAGCCTGGCCAACATGGTGAAACCCCATCTCTACTAAAAATACAAAAAGGAGCCGGGTATGGTGACGCATGCCTGTAATCTCAGCTATTCGGGAGGCTGAGGCAGGATAATCGCTTGAATCCGGAGGTGGAGATTGCAGTGAGCCAAGATCATGCCACTGCACTCCAGCTTGGGTGACAGAGCTAGACTCTGTCTCAAAAAAAAAAAAAAAAAAAAAAATATATATATATATATATATATATATATATATAACTAGAGATGGGGTCTTGCTGTGTTGTCCAGGCTAGTTTTGAACTCCTATGCTCAAGTGATCTTCCCACCTCAGCCTCTGAAAGTGCTGGGATTACAGGTGTGAGCCACGGTGCCTGGCCATGACTAGTGTCTTTATAAGAGAAAGCAGAGAGATTCAGAGACAGACGGACAAAGGCCGTGTGAAGACAGGGCAGAGCCTGGAGTGAAGCAGCTACCAGCCTAGGAGTGCCAGGCATTGCCAGAAGCCAGGAGAGAGGCAGGGAAGGTTCTCCCCCAGAGCTTTCCAGGTAGACTCCAGCCTCCAGAACTATGGGGGGTAACACGTCTGGGTTTTTTTTGTTTTGTTTTGAGATGGAGTCTCACTCTATCACCCAGGCTGGAGTGCAGTGGTGCAATCTCAGCTCACTGCATCCTCCCCCTCCCGGGTTCAAGCAATTCTGCCCCAGCCTCCCAAGTAGTTGGGACTACAGGTATGTGCCACCATGCCCAGCTAACTTTTTTCTAATTTTAGTAGAGACGAGGTTTCACCGTGTTAGCCAGGATGGTCTTGATCTCCTGACCCCATTATCTGCCCACCTCAGCCTCCCAAAGTGCTGAGATTACAGGCGTGAGTCCCCATGCCTAGCCTACGTCTGTTGTTTTAAACCACTCAGGGTTGGGGTACTTGGTGGTGGCAGCCCCAGGAAACCAGTCCACCCCTTTCCCTGGAACTCTCAGCCTTCCTTACCGAGGCACTGGGCACTGGAGGCAGGTCCCCGTTGCCCTGGCGCTCGGGGGACAGCGAGCTGCTGCCGTTGGGGGAGTCCAACCCAGATGGTGGTGACAAGCTGAGGTCCACGAGCGGGGCTGCTGAAAAGCGTCCCTCCACCTTCTCAGGGAACTTGGAGTTCAGCAGGAAGCCTGAGGAGGGAGAGGCACAATTCAGGGAGTGCTGGCACACGGAGGCCTTGGGGGGCCAGGTCTTCCTGCCTCCGAACCCCCAATGTGACCTTGGGAGCAGACACCCGCCACACTCCCAGACCATGCTTGGAGCTTGGAGCCCTGGAATCTGAGGAGCACCTGTAGAGCTGACAGATGTGTGACGCTGCCCACCATCTCTGACATTCACCAGCTGCAAGAGCTTGGCCACCAGGAGCCGGGAGTGGGAAGTGTCCGCTTTACAGACGGGACTGGTCTGGCACACAAGTTAATAACAGAACAGGACTCGAACCCAGGGCCCTGGGTCCCTGTCAGACGGGCAGGTAGGAACCTTTCTAACTTTTCCCAAGCCCCTCCAGCCTCAGTGCTCCCTCTTGAAAAGTGGCAGGTTCAGGCTGGGCTGCTCCCCACAGCGTCCCAGGCGGACAAGCAGTGAATCTGGTTCTTAGCTAAATCTGCACTTGGAGGCAGAGTAGATGCAGTGCATACCACCCTGGGCCTGAGCACTGGGCATCCCTTAGAGGCATCTGCTGGGCTGGGACCCAGTCTCTGCTGTCCAGGGTGCAGGTCCTGGGACTTCTGCCACTCCTTCTGAATGCCTGGTTGCCCAACCAGCTGCTCCAGCTCTGCCTAGCGGCCTCAGTTTACATTGTGCACCAGCCACGTGAACTGGGCATTGCAGCTGTCATCCCCCTGAAGACATACACTGCCGGGCAGATGGAAGGACAAGCACGTGGGCTTCCCGTCAACCCGAACCTGAGAGGGGCTGCAGCCACAGGCTGGTGGACACACTTGGCCATTCTCCCCATCACCACAGCTGGATCAGGGTGGCTGAGTCCCATGCCCTGCCCAGGGCCAGTACCTGAGGGCGGGGAGCCTGGAGAGCCAGGTGTGGGGCTGTCGTCCACCAGGCCCAGCTCCCTGTGCAGAGCGCGGGGCCGGACTACACCCAGCGTCCTCTCTCGCTTCTCTCTTGCCGCCCGGAGCTTGGTGATGCTCAGCTTCAGGTCGAGCGGCTCGTCCAAGGAGTGCATGGTGAGGAGGCTAGAGCTGGAGGTGGCAGCAGGCAGTGCTCCCAGCTGGTCTTCAGGCAGGAACCTGGGGAAGGACAGGAGCTGTGCTGTGGCACTGGGACCCCTGACTTTTCCCCAGGCTGCACTCATGACCGTCTAACAGGAGCAGGAGCAGGGCGCAGTATGAGGTTGTCTCCTGGGTAGGACGACCCTGCAAGGGACCTGGCCTGCAGCTATCATGGGAGGACAGCCAATGACTTCCTCAGAGATTTCACATCCGCTTCCCACAAGTCTCTTGGGGAAGACAAAGCTGATGTTCTCCATTTTGCCATGAAACTAAATTTTATTTGTTGACAGGATCTCGCTCTGTCACTCAGGCTGGAGTGCAGTGGCACAATCATACCTCACTGCAGCCTCAGCCTCCTAGGCTCAAGCAATTCTCCCATCTCAGCCTCCCTGGTAGTTGGGACTTACAGGTATGCACCACTCCTGACTAATTAAAAAAAAAAAAAAAATTTTTTTTTTTTTTTTTTTTTTTTTGGGTACAGATGGGGTCTTACCATGTTGCCCAAGCTGATCTCGAACTCCCAGCCTCAAGCGATCCTCCTACCTTGGTCTCCCAAAATGCTGGGATTACATGCCTGAGCCACCAGACTCGGCGAAACTGAGTCTTTTTTTTTTTTAAGATGGGGTTTCACCATGATGGCCAGGCTGGTCTTCAACTCCTGACCTCAGGTGATCCGCCCACCACGGCCTCCCAAAGTGCTAGGATTACAGGTGTGAGCCACCGCGCCTGGCCAAAACTGAGTCTTTTAGAGGCATCCCCTCAGATGGCAGAGCAAAGAAGTACCAGAATATCAGATTCAAGGCCTAAAGCCAGATCTTCCAGGAACTGGCTAGCAGAGTCCCAACAGCCATTTCTGACAGAGGAGGAGCCATGTTCAGGACTCCCGCCCTGTTTGACCCTAAAGATCTAGAACCAGGCCAGGGGGCAAGGAGCATCCTCCTAGGTGGCCAGCAGGCAGCCACGCTCACCTTCAAGAAAACAGGCTGAGAGCTCGCACCAGGCAAGCTGAGGAAGTGGACACAGCCAGGGGCCCCACCTCCCTCCCTGCAGAGGCCTGGAGGAGAGGCTTCACAATTCAGGGAGACCGAGGGCTCCAGGCCACCACCAGGGGGCAGCTGGGGAATGCGGCCTGGCCAGGCCAGCTGGGGCAGGGTCGGCAGAGTCGACCAGCTCTATCTGGTGATTAACATATAAATATGTAGAAATTATTTTTTTTACTGGAGATGATATTCTTTTAATATAACTTCCCATGCTGTAATTTCATCTTTTTAAAAAAATTTTTTTTAAATATTTTTTTAAGATGGGATTTCACCGTGTTGGTCGGGCTGGTCTTGAACTCCTGACCTCAGGTGATCCGCCTGCCTTGGCCTCCAAAGTGCTTGGATTACAGGCATGAGCCACTGCGCCTGGCCAATTTTATCATTTTTCTTAGCATGTTTCACTGGTATCATTTTCATTTTCTTTTTGGAATGGAATCTCTCAGTCACCCAGGCTGGAGTGCAGCGGCACAATCTTGGCTTACCGCAACCTCTGCCTCCCGGGTTCAAGCAATTCTCCTGCCTCGGCCTCCCGAGTATCTGGATTACAGGTGTACACCAGCACACTAAGCCAATTTTTCTGGTTTTAGTAGAGATGAGGTTTCACCATGTTGGCCAGGCTGGTCTTGAACTCCTGAGTTCAGTTGATCTGCCTGCCTCAGCCTCCCAAAGAGTTGGGATTACAGGTGTGAGCCACCACGCCCAGCCTGGTGTAATTTTCTTCACATGCAAATGATCTAACAGTATCCACTGACCCAAGAACAAGGTCAGTGCTTCATTCTAAACCCAGCCTTCACATTCACAGCAGGGGTCTTTTACCAAGAGGTGAAACATGGTATTTCCTTGCATTTGTTCATTAGGATTACTATACCTTGAAAATCTATCTGCCACACAGTCACACGGTGAGGTCCCGTCATATCAGGGTATTTACTCAGTACCAGAGGGCAGCCATGGTGGACGTAACTACTACATGGTGAAATACTTTGGATATTCTCACAGCATGGCTGTGAGTGGCAGAGCTGCCCGGATGCTCCCCATGGGTCAAGACAGGAGGGCAGCCCCCACCTCCTCACTCAGGGCCTCGATCCAGCCTTCCCTTGGTTCTGAGCCCCACTCATCCATTTACCCCAACAAGCTCCCCTTCTGCCCTGACTCTCCAAGCAAGAAGGGCACAAAATGGTCCCCTTCACTGGAGACCCTCTGCTTCTAGGGACACATCCTAAGACCCCACCCCAACATGGCTGACATGGGGGTCTCAGCACAGGGAGGCTGCCCACCTTTCCAAGGTTGTGTCATCAGAACCAGGGCAGCTGCACTTGGCCGTGGGACCCAGGTCTGCCACTCGCCCCTGTGGGAGTGGTCAGATTGTTTGAATTTGCCTCCCAGGCCATGAATGGACCAGGGGATCTCAGGGATTGGCGGGGGGAGGGGCAGGGTAGGGACCAGACCCTGGCCAGCAGGTGGCTGGGTGACAGTGATGGATGGAGCTGGGTCCCCTCCATCGTTTGTCTGGCTGGACAGGGAGCTGCCCTCGGCCTGAACCCCCGCCAGTTACATGCGTCTATCCGTGTCTATCGTCCTTCTACCTGTTTATTTTTAGACACAGGCGCAGTCCAGCCTCCCCGAAGCTCCTCTGTGCTGGGAGCCTGGACGGGGAGGAAGGAAGTAAATATTTATGCTGATGAAGAATTCAGGAGCCAGGAAGGGCTGGTGGCCTGGTCCCTCAGCTGGCCCAGGGCCACAGGCCTCCCCACAGCCTCTGTCCTCGCCCCCACCCCCACCCTTCCGGAGAAGGGGACCACAAGGGCAGGATGGTTTGGGAACTGGGAATTCAGCTGACGGGGACTCTCACTGGCAGCGCTGCCCAAGCAACATCCTTTGGCACCTGCCCCACTGCCTCCCCAGGATAGATGGGGACTGCGGGGAGCCAGGGGCCCTGGGCCACCTTGTTCTTAGGGCCTGCAGGGAACACTTCCCCAGGAGGAGCCTGTCTCCCAGGGTGGGGCCAGCCACACCACCCAAAGCCAGAGGGGAGACTCCCGTGCCCCTCCTTTCATCAGCAGGCCCAGTCCCCAGGGGCACCCCACACACACTTCCTGCCGCTGGGTCCTGCCAGGGAGACGGGTTCATTCCAATGCAGGCCAGAGCCCAGCCCAGTGCCTGCCTCCCTGCCCCCGTGAAAGGAAGGCACTGCCCCTAGTCCTACACCTCCCAGCACCCCTGTTCCAGGCCCTCCCCATCCAGAATTTTTCCTCCTATGAAGGCCCCACCCCAGAGGGGAGACAGTCTCTGACCTGGCCTTAGTCCTGACCTTGGCCAACCTTAAAGCCTCCCCCTTCTACCCCCCCCCCACACTCGCCTGCAGCAGCCAGTTCTGGGCTCTGCTCTGCGCTTTGTTCCCAGCTGGGTGAAGGGGGCAGGCAAGAGCCAGGTTCCTGCTCTCCTGAAAGCCTTGGAGGCCCGGATCGGGGAGCCGCGGGCCTGGAACCTAGGAACCCAGAGTGAAGCCTACGAGCGGGTGGCCATGGCTCTCCCCAGCATGAAGCTGGCTGCCTGGCTCTGGACAAGCTCAGCCAGAGGCCCCAGGTGCTAATTACTGCGGGGTCCCCAGGGCAAGAGCCGGCTCTCGGTCAGATGGGGGCACCCCGTGGGGGCTCCCCGGGCGCAGTGCAAGGCCCGCAGGCCCCACGCCCCTCTGTGCCTTCTGGCCTAGCTTCTCGTGCCTCAGTTTCCCCCCTGGTGGGACAGGGTGGCTTGGAGGACGCACAGAGCCCAGGGCTGCGTCTGGAGCGCCCAGCCCGGGATGCGCGTAGCGCCCCCACACACAAGGGCCTAGGGGTTTGGATGAGCGGTGGGGGCGTCAGTGGGGGGTGAGGGCCGCCGCGGTGGTCGCGGACCCAGGCGCTGCTGCACGGCTCCTCCAACTGCAAAAGGAACTAATTAGAGAGGGACGAGCAGTAGGAAGCGGCTGCGGCGAGGTAGGAAGCGGGCGGGGGCGGCCGCAGGGACCACCGGGGTGGCGGGGGTTGCGGGGGACCGCGCCCGGCCCTCCCCACCCCCTCAGGGCGGGGGTCACCCTGAGGGTGGGCTGGGCGGGCCCCCCGCCGCCCCGGCTGAGACAATGGCTGCTATTGTGTGCCCTCCGGCAGCCAGAGCAGACGGCCCCCAGCTGCAGCGCTGGCGGAGCCACCCGGCCCCCCGACCCCAGGCCCTGGTCAGGCCAGGTAGCCGAGGAGCCCGCCCCCCAGCAGGCGGGGCCTGCTACTGTCCCCACCCTCCCTACTGGAAGGTACGGGGCGGCCCAGCACACTCAGGGAAACCGAGGCCCAGAAGAGGAAGGTAAAGGACCATTAAGCATTTGACCACGTGGCAGGCCCATCTCTCCACGGATTCACTAAGCCCTGTACAACCTCTCCTGGCGGTAGCTGCTGGCATTTTCCTGGTCTCACAGATGGGGAAACTGAGGCTTGAGATCAGCGGGCCAACTGGGAGCTGGCTGGCGTCTTGCTTTGAATAAATTTCCTAGACCAGGTGTGGTGGCTCATGCTTGTAAGCCCAGCGCTTTGGGAGATAGAGGCAGGAGAATCCCTTGAGCCCAGGAGTGCCACAGCAGCCTGGGCAACACGGCAAAAATCCCGTTTCTACAAAAAATACAAAAATTAGCTGTGCGTGGAGGCAGGCACCTGTGGTTCTAGCTACTCGGGAGGCTGAGGTGGGAGGATCGCCTAAGCCTGGGGAGTTCGAGGCTGCAGTGAGCCAAGATCACACCACTGCACTCCAGACTGTCTCAAAAAATGACAAAAAGGCCGGGCGCGGTGGCTCAACCCTGTAATCCCAGCACTTTGGGAGGCCGAGGCGGGTGGATCACGAGGTCAAGAGATCGAGACCATCCTGGTCAACACGGTGAAACCCTGTCTCTACTAAAACTACAAAAAATTAGC